CAAATTTATTTAATATATAAAAACTTAAGTAATTTCAATTTTTTTTTTAATTTTTAAACTCTACTCTTCTGTACATTTCTATTATATAATTGAATACAAAAATGACTATAAATTTAAAGTTGTAACCTGAGAACGCCGCAAACAATATTAATTGCTTGATTTACAGTTCGCCGTGCACGTGTCCAGTTATTATCCTCTGCTGTGCGAAATCGTGTGCTTCGACTTAAAGGCGGAGCTTCGGTCCATCCTGAGGCGGGTCTTCTTGCGAATCGGCCCCGTTTTCCGGATAACATCATAGTTCGCCGCCGTCCATCAACTTGTGTCAAAGCGAAAGTAACCCAAGTTTACGTAGCGTATATATACAGAATTCAATTGAGTATTTATATACAGATATATTAATTATGTAAGTAGCAATTATAAATATTACGAAGTGATCTTAAAAAATAGGTACTATTAATCCGTTTCTATGTAGTTCTCGTCAGTTATATATCACATATCTAGGAAATGACATGAAGTTTTATGTGCTTCTCGTGATTCGTCTGCACTTGCTGATATAGGCTTTATGATTTAATTTCTATTTGTAACAAACAGAAGAAAACAAAATAAGTTTTCTCTCTCTCTATCTCTCTTTCATATACACAAACACTTTAAAAACTTATTTTAACTAGTTATCAGGATGATGTTATTAATATTTCCGTTCCAACGGAGCTAATAATTAATAATACACGTCTTGTCGAGAAATATAGTTATATTGAATTTTACGTGCCTTCTGGAAGATGATGTTATGAATTGTTATTGGACTTCTTTCGTCTACATTCTCTCTTACTCTCACTCACTCTCTCTCTTTTATTATCTGTTCTATTCTTTTTATACTATAAAATAATATTAAAGATAAATAAACAATTTAATTTGAAGAAGAGTTAGTTTTAGGTGATGATGATTATTCGAAAAAAAAAAACAAAAAAATAACGTGTGCAAAAGTCATGTGATTTTCCATTTCAATGTATTTTGTATATAATCGAATATAATTTGTACGGTGGTGTAAATATTCAAGAAAATTTTGGTTACGTTTTATTGAAGCTTAATATATTCTTATTACTACTTTATGCCATACTTTAATTAATTCTAAGCACACACAAAACATATTCTTTCTCTCTCTCTCACACACACACATACATTGACATACGTACTAGTTATGATTACATTCTAATAACACTTATTCAAAATACTTATATAGATAAAATAAATATTGAGTCTACTGCAAATTGCGACGGCAATAAAAGCGTTATCAGTTCTGTTCGTTTATTTATTCGAAAAAAAGCTTATTATCACCAACAAATTTTCGTTATCAAAACATAATAAAGAGTCTTCATTTCAATAAAATATCACAATAATCATGATCCATTCTAAACAATACCCATCCTCGATGAAAAAAAGATCTTCGGAATTGATCGAATGGAGATTGTATTTGGGGAACACTTCAAGGCACAGCATCGCGATCTGCGTTGAACAAACCTATTTTGATTTTCTGGACGATGCACTGCGCGGCGTGGACTTTGCAGCAGATACAGGTCTACTCGCTTTTTCCCTCTTCTTTTCCCTATCCGATGCAATGCAGTACATCTTCTCACGTATGCTGGTGTTGAAGAACATGTCGTGAAAAGCGTAGCAACCAGCAGAAACCTACTCAAACAATATAGGTAAGTTTATGTAATTAAATTTATTTATGAAGACTAAATTTAACATAAAGATGTAATAATGTACCTGTTGTATGAGCCTTCTATGGAGTTCTACATCGGATTCGTTAATATCGTCTACGTTCTCAGAGTGTAGCTGGACGGCGCAAACCAACGCATCCTGGATGGTATTTATGAGATCCTGCACTCTCTCCGTGCGAAACAGCCTTCTTACAAGAAATCCTTTAGCAGCGGCTGTTATTATATAAGCAGCTTTCTCCATCTGAAAAAGAAAATCCATTGAAATTAAGTAAAAGTTAAACAGTTTAAGTAACGTTTCCACCTTTTTTTCTTCAGTCAATTCGTAAATTTCAGTATCCCCCTTCTCGAAAGCACTATAGAAAAAAGTGGAATGCTCATCTGATCCACTAATAGGTGTAGAGAACTTCTCCGCGTTCTCCTGAAGTTCGTTGAAATCCGCCGAATTCACGGAATTCGTCCTACTGCGATTGCTCTGCTTCTCGAGAATCTCGTATATTTTCTTAGAATACTCCTGAGGTATGCTTTTCAAGATATTCTCCAATTTTGAATCATACGCCGGCTTCGGTACAGGTTCGGATATATACGTAACATTCGATACGTTCAATTCTTCGATTGGCACGTTGTTATCGATGAACTGTTTCAAATTGTTCTCGGTAACATTAAACTGACTTTCCTGATCCGACAAGTTCTTCAATTCCGTTTCCGTGCAGGACGTGTCCAAATCGTAATCTTTGGACACGTTCATCTCCAAATCATCTTTCAAATCTGAAGATGCAGCTCTCTGTCTATCCTCATTTTGCTTCAAATGCTCAATCAGGGCAGGACTAGGTGTTTCCAATATGTAAGAGTTGCTTCTGATCAATTTTGGTGTGGGTGGTAACTCCTCATCAGTCTGAAGAGCAACAAATTTGTCATTGACAAATTCTGATGATTGTATGTTGCATGTTAATTTTGGCTGCCTACTCTCGATGACTTCATCATCTAATTCATGCAGATTTGTTGATGATTGCTGCTTATCCAATAGATCACTGTAGTGATGTATCATAGCCTTCAATTCCCTCTCCTTCTTGATCCGACTCTCCACTTTAATTGCTTGCTTTCTATAAGAGATAATCTCTTTGCGTTTATTCTGAGTTATCTGCAAAAAGCAATAAAATTACTCAGTATATGTCTGCATAAATATAGACTTACCAGAGGTGGTAAAATTGGAACATTGTTAATCTTTATGCAAGAGACGTAAGTGGTTAACGACTGGATGTAATCGCTCAAAGGCATCTTCACTTCTTCACTGTTTATAAACTCTTTCATAATGGTAAAAACTGGAGTTGTAGCCGGACGAAATTCAATTTATTTAAAAAAACGGTCACTCGGTTGTCAATGTCAGAACAATGAAACATTGTGTAATAGGCAACCAAACCATCACCTCTTCCACTGCATAAAAGCCTAGTACATACTTCAAAACGGTACCATTTGCCATGTGCGCTTGACAATAATATAACCTACAAATTTTGATTGATAACATGTCACGAATAATTATTAAAAACTTGCCGAAAAACGTGAGTATAGCTTAAATAATTTAATTTACAGATAATGAATTTACATTGTTCTTCAGATCACAGACACTAAACTAAGGGAAATATTTGGAGCCAAAGGACATGTGACTGACGTTCAGCTGAAATACACTCCTGATGGAAAGTTCAGACAGTTTGCTTTTATCGGATACAAAGAGGAGGCAGAGGCAAATGAAGCTATTGAGTATTTCGATAAAACTAGTATAAACACCAACAAAATTACTGTGCAGAAATGTTCCCAATTAGGTAAATATTACTTATATATGTTTGAAGAAAAGTGCTAATTTATTAATATTAGGAGATGCAAGTAAACCAAAGTCTTGGAGTAAATACGCTGTGGATAGTTCAGCATATAAGAGCAAACATAAAACTGCAGAACCAGCAGAGGAAGAACCAAAAGTCGAGAAGGATAAATCAGAACCTACACAAGATTTGTTAGAAAAGGTAAATATATAAAAAAAAAAGGATTATTATATTATCAGAGATTAAACTGTTTATATTTTTTTCAGTATAAAGATGATCACGAGTTTGAAGAGTTCTTGAATGTTCAAGGAGATAAAAATACTCAAAATTTGTTAAGTAAAATTAAGAAGACTGGTGACGATGAGCAGAGTGAGGATGAAGATGAAGCACCAAAAGGTGATAAAGTTGAAGATGATAACAAGGAGGAGGAGGAGGAGAAAGAGAAAATAGCTAATGCAAAAATCTCAGATTTGGAGGTATGTTAATAATAACATTTTTAAATTAATTGCATAAACTTATTTTTTGTCATTAATTTTTTTTAGTATATGAAAATGCTGAAGAAAAATGTTGCTGAGCCTGAAGTGAAGAAAAAGAAAGAGAAACCTAGGAAGAATCTGAAATTGTTTACATTGAAAATGAGGAATTTGCCAAATTCGTGCAAGAAAAAAGATATAAAGGCGTTCTTCAAACCTTTGTATTTGCACTCGCTGAGGTGTCCCAAGAATATTAGGAATATAGCGTTTGTCGGTTTTCTGGATGAGAAGAATTTCAAGATTGCTTTAACTAAAGATAGAAGTTTTATAAGTAAGTGATTAATTATTTGAAAATAATGGTTTCGTTGTTATACGTTTAATTTCTTTATTCAGAGGGGAAACAAATTGAAGTTAAGGAATACGTGGACTATAAAAATGAGCCTAAAGAGCAGGCGAATGACGTGAATAACAAGTGGAAGTATCAGGAGGAGAAATTGAAAAACGAAGAGGAAATTGCCGAATCCGGTAAAATATTCATAAGGAATTTGTCTTACACGAGTACAGAAGACGAAGTGCAGAAGTTGTTTGAAACTTATGGTATGACATCTTATTTAATAACTGTGAAGATGAAAGTTAATAATTGAATGGTTATAGGTCCCATAGCTGATTTCACTTTACCAATTGATACGACAACGAGGAAACCTAAGGGCTTTGCTACAGTTACGTTCGTTATGCCGGAAAATGCGGTCAAGGCTTACACGGAATTGGATGGTACCATTTTCCATGGTAGGATGTTGCATCTTTTGCGTGGGAAATCCAAGGAAAACGCGGATGATGATAACGAGGAGACGACAGACTTTAAGAAGAAAAAGGCGAAGGAGTTGAAGAAGAAAGCCGGTTCATCGCACAATTGGAATTCTCTTTTCTTGGGTCACGACGCAGTCGCCGAAGTCATGGCTAATACTTATGGAACCACTAAAGAAGCGGTTTTGGATCCGAGAGGCGCTGGAAACGCTGCCGTTCGTTTGGCACTCGGAGAAACGCAAATTATTGCACAAACTAGGAAACATCTTGAAGATCACGGTGTCATTTTGGATGCGTTCAATGGGGTAATTAAATTTAATTTATTAGTTAATCCAGACATTAAGATTTTACTTTTTTTTAATAGGTTACAACGAAGAGGTCCAAAACTATAATTATTGTTAAAAATTTACCGGCTAATACTACGTCCATGGATATACAGACTTTGTTCCATCCGCACGGACATCTTGGTCGTGTCATCCTTCCTCCAAGTGGAATCACAGGTAGGACTATAAAATAAAAAAATAACTTCAAACTATTCTTATGATTGATGTAAACTTTTAGCAATCGTCGAGTTCGTTGAACCATCCGAAGCCAAGAAAGCTTTCACCAGATTGGCTTACACGAAGTTCAAAAACTTACCTCTATACTTGGAATGGGCTCCAGATAATAGTTTAAGTGGACAAAACAACAGAAATGTTAAGGAACCAACGCATAATGAAACCAAACCAGAGGAACCAGTTGAAGTTGTTGAAGAAGAGGAGGATGATGACGAAGAACCTGAACCAGATACAACGCTTTTCGTGAAAAACCTTAACTTCGAGACAACCGATAATGTGTTACGAAAGGTACTAAATTTTTGTATATTTCCCAAAACATTTTTTTCAATATTTTCTTTTTTTTAGCATTTCGCGAGTTGCGGTAAGATATCCTACGCGAATGTGGTTACTAAAAAGGATTTGAATGATCCTACTAAGAAACTGTCCATGGGTTACGGTTTTGTCAGGTTTTACCACAAAGAAAGTATTAACAAAGCGCTGAAAAACTTGCAGCAAAGCGTTCTCGACGGAAAGTCGCTCGAGCTGAAGAGATCTGAGAGAACATTATCGTAAGATATACTTTTTTTTACAAGTATAACAAAAAACTAATTATTACTTTTTTTTTAATTAGAAATGAAGTGGTGGCTGAGCGTAAAACGACGAAGAAAATTAAGCAGACTGGCAGCAAAATTTGCGTTAGAAACGTACCATTCCAGGCAAACCAACAAGACTTGCTGGAACTCTTCAAGTAAGTAACATCAACTACATTATATACTGAATATTAAACAACAATTTGTAGGACTTTTGGGGAAATTAAGTCGTTGCGGTTACCTAAGAAGATGGGGCCTACAAATCAACACAGAGGATTCGGCTTCGTCGATTTCGCTACCAATGCGGATGCTAAAAAAGCTTTTGAAGCACTTAGCCAAAGTACTCACGTACTTGGAAGACGTTTGGTCTTGGAATGGGCAGCAACTGAAGATAGCATAGACGATATTAGGAAAAGGACAGCGGATCATTTCCATGAGACCACTGAAACCAAGAGGTCGAAGAAGAGCGTCTTTGAGATGGAATCTTAATGACTGCTATTTTTTTAACGTAACTTATGTTAAAGTACTATAAAAAGACTTTGTTGTTAATATTACATTTGATAAGGAAATTTAAATGTACATTTTAAATATATTATTACATATTTACTATATAATTATTTACGAATGTATTTGCATTGAAACGAAGTTCATAGTTCGATGTTTTGTAATTTTAAAAAGGCTGTAATTCAATTATACAAAGATTACAAGTAGATTTCTTTAATGTTACTCCTAAGCTCCATCTTACAATGGTAAACTAAACTTCTGGAAGGTATGGTTAACTCCTGTTCCTCATTAATAATCTCTTCATTAACCTATATTTATTTCGAAGCAGAGACGTATTCACATTTATTCTCAATGCATATTTTAAGATTGAGTTGTTTTTTTATAAATTGACCACAAGGTACAAAAATATGAATATTTGTAATCATTTGGAATGAGTGAGAATATATTATTGATATGCTAAACATAGTGGACAGACTTAATTAAATACAGCCTAAAAATAACATAAAAAAATATATATAATTACTTAAAAATGGATGTGGTATGCACAAAAAACAATACTTCTAACAATATCTATGTTAATACCTGTACAATTGTAGTCTATTATTATTCCAATCTATAATGGTTCCACCTGGATAAAGCCTTGTTTTGAAGCAATCTTAGCACAAACTGCTTTGAAGGAAATCAAGCTAGAAGTTAGCATATGCAATGATTCCAGCGATGATGACACACAAGAACTACTTGATAAATGGAAAAGTTTATTTGAAGACAATAATATCACTTTTAAATGTTACCTCAATGATACCGGTTCACCTAAAGGTGTTGGATATGCGAAAAACAAAGCAGTTGAATTATCAACTGGTCAATATCTTTGTTTCCAAGATGTGGTAACATCAATTCATTCTAATTTATGTTCATAGCTTATGATTTTCTTCGTAGGATGATGTTATGTTACCTGAAAGGATTTTGATGCAATTCAAGGAGGCCAAAGCACTTTCCAATGATTATGTAATAAGTATTTTTGAGTTAATAATTGAAGACTCAAGAGGAAACCAATTTACTTAAGATTATGTATTATATAGAATTGTCTATTTTCTACTAATTGTTATGTAAGTAATGTAAATGTTTTTCTTTCCTTGACTCTTCAATTATTAGGAAATCTGTTTTGAAAATAGTTTAAATTTTGTAATTGTAGCTGATTGGTAGTAAATTTGTACGTGAACCTCGGGATTCGACGATTCGTTATACAAATTGGGCTAATAATTTGTCAAATGAGCAATTGGTTAATCAAATTTATACTTCCAATGGTCCAACAATTATTATGCCAACCTGGTTTTGCCATAGATCTGCATATGATAGGTATGTGTAATCAAATTATTGATAGTTATAAATGTTAATTATTTCTGTTAAGAGTTGGTGGGTTTGTGGAAGATGGTAAAGGAACTCCTGAAGACCTGATATTTTTCTACAAGCATCTGGATCTGGATGGGAAAGTTTATAAAGTTGAAACAAATTTGTTAGTGTATTACTACCATCAGCATGCCACTACGTTCTCGATAAAAGAGTAAGTTTTTCATTGGAGATTTGACGAACGTTATGATTAAAATTGATAGGGAAACCATTTGGAATCTGCGTTTGGAGCGTCTGCAGAGCAAGGTTCTATGTAATTGGAAGACATTTACCATCTGGAATGCGGGAAAGCAAGGCAGGAAGTTTTATAACTCTTTGAGTGCGGAAAATAGAGTGAAGGTGATGGCCATGTGCGATGTAGATGTCAAGAAAGTTAACAAGAAGTATACGCCCTACGACGCAAGGTTGAGGAAAGCAGGCAAACCATTGGATATGGTGCATTTTAAAGACGCTAAACCGCCGTTCGTGATTTGCGTTAAATTGGTAAGTGATTGTGGTAATCGTGGTTAGACCTTAAACTTAAGATCTGTTCTAGGACATGACCGGCGGCTGTTTCGAGAAAAATCTGGAGTCACTGCAATTGAAGGAAAACCTCGATTACGTTTATTTCAGTTAAAATCACATATTTTATATAAATTACAATAAATTAATGTTGTTAATCAACTACGCTACTCTGTAAATGATGGATAGTTTAGAGGTCGTAACCCAGTCGCTCGAACTCTTGTATTAAGTGGATCATATCGTCGTGATTTAAACCGGAATTTTGGAAGACGATTCGGAAGAAGTTGGGTAAGCTTTTCTGCGCTTGATACGTGACCATCATTGAGCCTTCCTTCATCATTTTCTCTTTGATTTTGGGAGCAACGGAATGCAGTTTTTCGTGGTAATCGGCATCGGTTTCGTGTCCACGCAAACTTGGTGGTATGTACCAAAAGCATATGTTCGTGCATTCGGGATTATCCAAAACTATGGAGAATCCTTCCGTTTTCTGGATGGTGTTGGTAAAGAATTCAGCGTTATCGAAGACCTTATCGATGTGCTGTTCGAAACCGGAAGTTCCTTTGGCTTTCCACATGAACCAGAATTTGAGGACATCGGCTCTTCGTCCGCACTGCACGTGCTTGTCTCCAGTATCGAAGCTAGTATCGTAGAATTTGTCTTTTTGGAAGAGATATGCTGCGTTTGTGGAATGAGCAGATGATAGAACTCCTTTGTGCCTGAGCAGGTAAGCGGAACACTGCTGCGGTGCAGTTAATAACTTGTGAGGGTTCCATGTAACGGAATCGGCCCTGAAATAATAGAATACGGTTACATCGAAGGCTACTTAGAAAATGCACTCATTTTTTCTCAATTAAACATTATTATGTTAGTACGTTTAATTGTACATTTCGACATGCAAACAGCATCAAGGATTTACGTGAAGGGATCGAAGACCTCGAATCGTTAATGAGGTGCATGCACTCAACCATACCTGTGGATTCCTTTCAGAAGATGCTTGTACTTCTTGGACATCAATGCTCCGCCACCCCAAGCGGCGTCCACGTGCAACCAGAGCTTGTGCCGTTCGCAGACGTCGGCGATTTCTTCGATAGGATCGAAGGCTCCGAAAACTGTTGTGCCTGCGGTTGCGCTGACCATGAACGGGATCGCGTTTTCCCGAAGAGATCTTTCGATTTCAGATGTTAAATGCTCCACGTCCATTTTCCCTCTACCGTCTGATTTGATGAGGTACACGTTATCCGAGCCCAGACCCAAGAACGAAGCCATCTTCTTGATGGAATAGTGCGCATCCTCGGAGGTGAAGAGCACCAAGCGCTGCAATCCGTGCAGACCTGTTCTCTGTAATCTCAATGGTGATTATCAATTTCATTTTGTTTCAAGCGCTTACTTTGATGTCCGGCATGAGGCTATGTCTGGCGCAACTTATTGCATAAGCGTTGGACATGGATCCACCTGGGCAGAAGATGCCATCTCCGTCGCCGTTGGGGAAACCTACTATCGTCCTCATCTCTTTCAGCACAACTTCCTCCATTAAGGTGAAAACCGGAGATACTTCGTAGGTGTAAACGCTGGGATTCAGCGCGTCCGTCAACCATTGTCCAACCAAGCCGTACGGATCAACGGAGGAGAACAGTTGATTCACGAAGTACGGATGTCCGGTCTTCACGGAATACTGTATCGTCTCCCTGATCAACTGAAGGAGTTCGTCGTGCGATGATCCGCTTGCGCGAATTTCAAAATCCAAGAGTTTCAGCAACTCCTCCGGATTCCTCCATTCCAAGACTTTGCTGTCCCTTGATAATCCATTGAATACAGCATCCTTGAGGAGTATCTCCACGGACTCTCTGATGAAACTCTCGTGCTGATTCCTGTTCGGATGGCTTTCGATGGATGCGATTGGTTTGTAAGGCTTCTTCAGATCTTGCGGGTATCCTTCGTCGTCCTCGGAGGTGGCGACGTCGCTGGCTATGGCCTCATCCACGAAGTCCTCTTGCACGTTCTGCTCCCCAGTGGCTGGCATCTCGCTAGTTGTGTAGTGGGTCTGTGGAGTGTGTCAGGTTCCTCGATTGAACGACTGAACCGCTCTACTGGATCGGACACCCCGTCGGTGGGACTATATGAACCGTCCACGTCACGTGCAGTCCTTGCTCATTACTGCACTTTCCCAAACGACCGTGGCAATCTCAAATCTATTAATTTGTGCCTTGTCTCCAACATCCGAAATATTCCGGGGTCTTTCGGATTGTGCGTGGATGGCCAATCCGTTCATAATGCCACTTTGGTATTTCCCAGTAAACCCGACTAACCAGTCCACTTATCAGCATCTCCGCACGTTTTCACATTTGGCCCATGGAATCCCAGTACGACGAAGTCAATAAACTAATTCTTCTCTTTCAATATCTTGTTTCCGTTACTCCCGTATCGCGAAGCATGTTAACGCAATTAGACTATTCCATTATTCGAACTACAATTAGTAAGGTAAAATAGCCTTTGTATAGTACTATTTTTCATTCAGCTTCGATCCAAGTTATAACGATATTAAATATAAATTAGATCTTTATTATTAATGCAAATTCAAAAATATATTTCAAATTGTTACTCATTAAGATTACAAATTTAAATTTGATTCTTTTGTTATGAATAATTTCCAAGTGTTTACAAACAAAAGTGCGTATCGAAATCTATGCCAATCGATTCATTAGAAATTCATGGTCGGATAGGAATCGGCGAGTTCCTACAAACCCAATTCTTTCAATATATCAATAATCCGTAAAATCAGATCCGTGGCCATGGATGGAAAAGCGTAAACAATTTGCGCAGATATTAACAGTTTCCTAACTCATTGTTCACGCCAAGGCGTCGTGATCGTAGATCGACTTTGTGTTCTTCCATTCATGGTATTACGATTACAAAGTTGAAGAACGGACGATCTCGTGCATTGCAGGGAAAGCCGAGAAAAATCATTGTCCGACAGGGAAAAACCGATATTTCGTAGTACTTAATGATCAGTCGCTTTCTAAAAACACTTTTAATCACGCTGCGTATCTATCGTTCCAAATAAATACGTTGAATTATTTATTTATCGTTGTTCAAGGAAAGGAAAAAAGTTCGGTTGAGTTAAGATTATTCATAATTATTGTTAATTAGATATTTTAAACACTATTTGTAAATTTCAACATTTTCATTTATATACTAAAATTAAATAATATTTAGTATGATGTAGAATCAACAAATCTAATCTGTAGTAGTTAATAAATCAACTAAAATTTTTATAAATTTATAATTAATAATATGCACATTTGGTTGCCTATACTATTGCAAATACTACTTAACATAAATCTGTTTGTTTATGTTAAATCGTATAATAAATCATTACTATTATCGATTTATTTCCTATTGTAATACACGTTCGTGGTTTTTATTGGTCTTCATATAATCTTATCGGTTGGAGAAACAAAGGTGGTCTATAACAACCCATTGTTTACGTATTTGTCATTTTGCTTTTGCAGTGGTTTTTTTAGTTCGTTTTTAGGTTGAATTCGATAATTTTGTTCTTTGGGATATTACAATGGAGAATATTGATATAGTGAGTATCGACGGTTTGTTGTGCGGCAGTTGTGTATGGTTTAGAAACTTTCAGAATATGGAAAACGATATTAGGAACATTCAAAGGTGTCTAAGTGATGTTAACTCAGACATAATAATAAAGTACTTGCTGAAACACAAGAACGATGAAAACAGGATGATGCTTGCGATGAGGGACTATTTCCGAGATTTCGATGATGTTGATCAGTTCGTGATTGATCAGGAAGCTGTGATGCTATCTCGGATGTTTCCATTTGCAAACATACAAGTCCTTGTGGATCTCTTGGAGCGGTTGGGCAATGAACCAAACAGGCTCAGGATAGCAATGAGGAAGATCCTCCAAGAACCTGAGCTCATCAATCAAAATTTAAGATGCACTTCGACTGTAACAAACATGGATCAATCTTATGGCAATGGTGAAGAATTTCAAAGTAATGATGATGATGATGAAGAAGCTGACTCCAAAGCAAATTTACAGAACTTAAGGCATAGCGTTGAGTATCATCACAGAACAATTAATGTCAATAAGAGGAAGCTGGATGAGCACCATGATGAAGTGCCAGTGTTACCCAAAAGGCACAGTACTGATGCAACTCAAATTGAAAATATTCCATCAACATCAAATGATCACACATACAATTTCCCTCTTCATTTTCAACATTTAATAAGTAATTTAATAAGAATGATTTAATATATTTGATAATTGTTTGTTTCTTTATTTTTTTTTAGGAGATGTTGCAAGAAATAAGAGAGAATTTGTTGGTGTTAATGAAATTATAAGGTATAATACTGCTGGAGATTCATGAAGCAAATATTAATTTCGTAACGCCTTTTAGTATTTCCGATTCTGAAACTGCAAATGATGTCATCGATATTACTGACGATATACAGATGGATGAGGTGGTCGCCATCGAGGTACCAGTCGCTGAGATTCACAAACCAGAAACTTTAACGAACGCTGTTGAGGATATTATACCGCAACCCGTTAATATGATCTTGTACAACTCGATCTCTTCAGTATTCCCAGATGCAGAACCTGAATTCCTCAAGCATTTCTGCATATCTCAGCAATACAATGAAACTATTGCATCAGGCATAATAAACACAATTCTAGCAAGTAAGTTTTATGCATTAAATCATCATTTCTTATTGAAAACAATTATTATAAGCAATAATTTGTTGTTTCTCTTTGATTCTAACGTATATTTATTGTGCAGTGCCAAATTATCCATTAAGAAAGGTGATTGTGAAAGAAGAACATCAGGAGCAGCAATTGGAGCTGATGGATGAGGATTCTCAATTCGAAATGCTTAAGCAGATACTGCCGAAGGCAGATCCGACGTACCTGAGGGACAAAATTGGCACATTCAAGACGGTCAATGATTTCCAGTCGTTCATAACCGAGGCTCTGGACAAACACCAATATCCAACGCTGGAAGAATACGAAAGGTGCGAACCTGATGGCTTTAGGTGACATATATGTGATACGCATGTTGCAGGAAGAACCGCGCCTTCGCCCAACTGAAAAAGTATACGAGCGAGTTCAATGTGCAATGCTTCGTGGAAAATATTCCGAACGTGGAGGAGTACTTTCAGGAAATGAACAAGAAACTCTTGTTGTACGATCCCAGACACGAGAGGGACATCATCGATTTCCTTAAGAACAAATACCGTAATATCAGCGTTAAGAATATCGCGCTTTTCAAGCACGAGTCGACTACAATTTTCGAAGTATGCCAAAAACTTGACAATTGCAGGAAAACGTTGAAGACAAAACGCTCGCTCTGTCCATTAGAACATATCAGAGACATACCTCTACTACAAATGGTATTGAAATGATTTTAGTATTAATGTGATTAATTGATTAAAATTGTTATTAGTTTGCATATATGACGCACCGGAAGGAAATCATGAATTACATATACACGATGAAGGAGAAGAAGGAGAACCAAAGGATATTAGCCAAAGAGTTGAACTTGTGGGTCACTTGCCAATGTTGTTACGATGAGGAGATTATGCCTGAGGACGTTGTGAACTGCGCTTCTGGATGCATCTGTTGTAGTACCTGCGCCCAAAGGTCCATAGAGATAGCGTTCGGAGAGGGAAAACTCGACTATCCGTGCCTTTCCGATTGCGGAATTATGTTCCCCTTCCAATATATACAGGTCGGTGCATAAAATAATTAATAAGTCATTAACAACTATCAGTTTCCTTTTGTTTTTTTTTGCAGACGTTCCTTAGTCCGAAGCTGTTTTCGAAGATCGCTTTGAAGAAGCAGGTGCAGGAGGTCAAAGCTGCAGAACTTGAAGGCGTGGAACAGTGTCCGTTCTGCGATTTTATGACTATTCCGCCGTCCACCGATAAGATTTTCAAGTGTCTGAATCCTGATTGCCTGAAGGAGTCTTGCAGACAATGCAACGAACTCTCGCACATACCGTTGCGATGCGACGAGATTGAAAAGGACGAAGAAGTTAAGAATCGTGTTTACATTGAAAACAAAATGACAGAAGCTCTAATTAGGTATGCCTTTAACTTCTCATTTTTAAATTTATAATCGAGAAATATTTAACAAGTTGTTCTTATATAATAATTATCAACTTATTTGTACTTACAATTTTCAGAAAATGTTGGAAGTGCCATACAAAATTCATCAAATCGGACGGTTGCAACAAGATGACCTGCGTTTGTGGTGCAACGATGTGTTACATTTGTAACAAACCGGTGACCGATTACAAGCATTTCAACGGCCAAGGAGGACACAACACTCATCTGTAAGCTTCATCATTATTACATAAAACATCAAAATTTTAATAATTTTGTTTCGTTTCTTGCAGATGCCCATTATATAGTGATACCAATAAGTTACATGAGCACGCCGTGCGCTCCGTAGCCAAAAAAGCGAAGGCGGAAGTCGGTCAAAGCCTGAAGATCGATCCAACAACAAACATCCATCAATACTACAAAGAGTACAACCAGAACAATCCGCAGACTATTCCGCCTGGCATGCTCTTCAATATGCATTAATATTAAATTTTAAATATCTTATTATTATTATTTTTATATAAATACTAACTAGTAAGCATTCACAAAAAAGAAGAAACAATATACATTATACATATATTTTTTTAAATTTTTGTTTTTTTTTTTCGACGTAACAGTCTTTTATCAATGTTTTTTTAAAACTAATAAATATTGAAAATCTTTCGTGAATTTTTCATTTAGATTGATATATTATATTGATGTTTAAATGTAAGTTTAAAAAAAAACCGAATGAGTATATAACATTTGTAATAGATAATTAATATTTTATAGATATTTTCATATTAAGAATGCAATGAAATTTATTTTAACATGTTAGATTTTCCTTTGTATACCTGGGATTGTTAGTGAACGAGGTAAAATATTAAATAAATGTTTCGTAATAATATGTGCGTTTTTTAAAATAATTGATTCATTTTTAAACCCCAATCAAATGCAAATAGATTACCTAAACGCAAAACGACAATTTTCGATGTCTTCAGTTTTTAGTGCTGAAGATAATTACAACGTTTTATTTTCAGAACCACGCAGTATAATTACGTAATTCAATAGGAATCTTACTATTAAGGACTCCTACTTTTCGAATGTGCTCACTGAAACAATTCTAGTATCGATATTTTGATTTTGAAAAGTCCTGAAAGTTACTGAATTTATGCCCAAATAATATAATTACTATAGGCAACCAAATTCACATATGTGTACCAATTTCGTGCAATTTTTGCAAAACTAATTTTCAGATTTTCTTGCAAACAATTGGAAAGTTAGTCGTCTATATAAGAAACGTTACTTTCTTATTAATTTTTGTATTTTATTGTTGAGAAAGAATGGCGCCACCGTTTCATATTTTGTTATGTAACAAAAGTAAAGTAATGAAGCGATGATTTTCAATATCTTCAGTTTTTCTTGAATTATACAATAATCACTTTAGTCAAATGTACAAATTAAAGTTGAATGTCTTAACTTTCAAAAGTGCCTAATAATAGTTTCCTGCTATCATCCACTTTTCAATTTTTGCAAAAATTGCAAACATGCGACATGAATTTTCAATGGTTTTCATTTCAGTTTTCTCGATGAATTTCGACTATTTTTATTTCCTTATAAGTTCATAGCATGTTAATAATTACAAATAAATTCAAAATAAAGCTTAGTGAGGCAACTTAATTCAAATATAAATTTTGAATATCATTAAAATTAAACTTAGATTTACATAATAAACTTTATTATAAGAAAATAGCATACAGTTGGTACATACAAAACATATATAAACAATAATGAAACAATAATTATTACGTATTACAATTAAGAAAAGGATGGAATGAAGGGTATAGGAAGGAAACATTCATGTGAGATTCTCCACTCACATCGAGTATATTGAGTAATATGAGTAAAAAAAAACTCATTAGTTCTGCCAGTTTTGATCGAAACCGGCTGCAGTGTCGGAATCAGAGTCCTGCAAGGAATGTCTTTGGATGATCCTCTGCTGTTGATTTGGAGTTCCTGGATTGCTGTGCGTTCCTGATTGCTGCAACGGGCGTTTGCTCTTCCTCTTTGATCCACCCAATCCTTTGGGTGCTGGCATATCCTGAAAAATAAACAAATTTCTTCCTTTAATAAATTATTATAAAAAAAAATAATAATACAAACCTGTCCTAGATTATCCGCGGATCCCCATCCTTTGTGCATCTTCTCGGCAATTGGATCAATGGATCCTCCTCCACCTACTCCAAGGAACGAACTGAAAGCCTCCGTGGTTTTCTTCACTCTCACATTGAGCGAACCGATTCGCAGGAATCCCAAGTCTTTGTCTAAACAAGAACAATTTACATTTACAGATTTCGATTTCAATTTTATATTTGAATAGTACATTTGTAATCCAAAATACTTGCGAACCTAAATAAAATCAACTACAAGACCAAATCCAATCAAATACCAAAATAATGAGAATCCACAAAGTTGAGCAACAAATTAGATGAAAATCATTGAAATATTGTAATGATTCGAAAATAAAAGTGGAGTATGATCAAAGAATGGAAATTGTTGCTAAATGAAGGAAAATATATTGTAATAAAGATTGGTTTGCTATAGAAGCAGAAGTCTACTAAAGATTGATGAGTATATTCAGAGTAAATTTCTACAAAAATCTGTTGAACTAAGAAGATGTATGAAGATCAGATGAATGTGAGACTGAAGGTGCTATACTTTAAGTGATTAGAAACAACAACATTACCTCCGTATTTATTCTTTCTTCCTTTCAAATCTGCAACACAGCACAAAAAAAGCAACATGTAATTAAAACGAGGTTTGATAAAAACGAATTTATTATTGAACACACAAATTCCAGGTTAAATATAAATAATTAATAAACGAACGATGTAGTAAATGTCCGCTCGTTCGCGGCGTGTGCAAGCCTCGACCATATTTATACAAAATAACAGGTATGTGCATACGCGTTAATAACTCGGGACCTGAGTTTTAACTACTTCAGAGAATCACCTCTTGTCTATAAATGAGTAAAGCCCGTTGGAATCTGACACGCATGCAGATGGTAATAATTACGATTCTGCCTACGAGTAATATTAATAATAATAATAGTGCTAAAAATATTTAAAAGTAAGTTAATGACTATGATGAGTCTACACATAAAGTAAATAATTATTTAACAAAGAAAATTAAAAATATCACTAGTGTTTAGTTAAACCATCACCATTCCTAAGACTACGTCCGTGCTACTAACTTAAACCTATCATCCTACAGATGTAATTGTTAGTTTAGTGCAGCCTAGGTGACTTTGTAGTTGCCTCGCTCGGAGGACACGGAGCTCAGGATTGGGTTAGATGTCCCTAAGGACTTCGCCGCTCGAATGTTGTGGTTCGAAGCGTGCGAGAAGCTCTTTCTTAGGAAACTCGAGTGCTTCGTGCGGACATGCTTACGATGGACGTGCGGGTACTCACTGTGTGAAGAAATCTTCGGACGCGACTGCATCTTCACGTTCCTGTACTGCTCCGGTTTCTTACCGCTGAAATCCCTGATATGTGAATCGGCCTCTGCAACCACAAAGCAAACATACATACAAATATCAAACCAAGAACTTTAGCTTAATGATCAAAATGAATTAAAGTCTCTGCACTTACCGAAAACGCCGACCAAAAGCTCGTATACATCGTGACGACCGAACTGAGCTGCCAAATGAAGAGGAGCGTAACCCTGTCAAAAAGAATACATCAATTATTTTAAAATTTGTAACATCATGATGAACTTCTTCTCAATGAATACAATTTGATGCTTCCAAATGTTTTATTCTTGGACTTCTCTTAACTCTTTGAAGGGACAGAAATTCCTAAATTTCTGGATTTCAAGTCAACTGAATCATCAACATCAGATGGTATGGCCTATCAAGATTCATCTCTTGACATACCAACCAAATTAAAGGGTAATTCCTCTTTCCTTGACATTTTCTAGAAAATTATAATAATGCCCAACTAGTTCAAAGGTGGTACAATTATTGTTAGACTTCAAATTACATAAATATTTTAGAAATTCATTCTTTCATTAATTAAAGAGTAAAAATCACTAATAATAATATAATTGAAAAATGAGTCATTGAAATATTCTGAATAGTGTTAGATCTTGATTGGATAGAAATTGTGATGAATAATGTAGATAGTATAGACCAGCGTTTTCCAAACTGTGAGGCTAGTGGACTAGTCTAAGGGGAGGCGCGAATATTAGTAGCAGTGAGAACTAATGTTTGAGGAATCCAGCAAGTATAGATACATTCCTGTGCTCTTATCCATGTTGCTGTAATACGCGTTCAAAGTTGAAAAATTGAAATAAGAACGTTCGAAAAAGCAGTGTTTGCACATTTCATTGATTTACTCGAAAACTATAATAGATAGAATTAATCCAATATATGCATATGAAAGCTGAATGTTTGGGGAATCCAGCAAGTATAGATACATTCTTGTGCTAATATCCATATTGCTGTAATACACGTTCAAATTTGAAAAATTGAAATAAGAACGTTCGAAAAAGCAGAGTTTTCACATTTCATTGATTTAGTCGAAAACTATAATAGATAGAATGAATCCAATATATGCACATAAATGCTGAATGTTTGGGGAATCCAGCAAGTGTAGATACATTCCTGTGCTGTTATCCATATTGCTGTAATACGCGTTGCTTTTATGAAATGGAGGAGGGTTGTGTGAGGCGCCAAATAATTACATACTTTTGAGGAAGGCGTAGTAACATCAAGTTTGGAAACCACTGGTATAGACAGAGGAACGTAATTTAGATGCTGTAAATTGGTATTTAATCTGTGTGACGTAATTCAGGATCGGTTTCGTTCCTTCTTTCCCTTTCGTATTCTTTCTTTCCCCGTTATCGAAAGTAGCATCTCCGGGTATTTACAAATATGGGAACATAATTCCCATATCTGTGTTGTATTTCTTTTTTGGTCTTGCGTTAAGGACATTAATAAAGGTAGCCGCAAGGGTCCACAAATGTAAACGTCATAAACATGGGAGTTTATCAGTGGCATTTGCGGTTGCATCTTAGATGCTCTATCTCATCGTGGAATGCACGGCATCCGCGCGGCCCTGCACAACCCTTCATTTCAACCACCGCAGCTACCGGACTTTAGCAACTTTACACGTGACGAATACACAACGCAACAACGCTTCCCTTCACTTCACTGAAGTCATATATATGAAGTCATCTCGTCGTGCGCTATTCCAACAATGCCACCTAACCGTCACAAGCAATCTCGGACAAGCATCAAAGTCCGCGCTACAATTCATTAATACCGACAAAGAAGAAACTTGACTCACCCCATTCTGTAGAGAAGCGCCAACATGAAACCAACACACAAATATATTAGATTACAGTTAAAGTCACACGACGATTCCAAGCTACAAACCGTTCTCGCGTTGACATCAGCCTTGTATTTGCCAGCGAACATCCTGATGATCTTCTCGCTTCCGTGTTTCGAGCCCCAATGAAGCACAGTCTGCAAAAGAAACCCACAAAATAATAACAATCGCGCAATTCCATTAACAACAATTAAACACTTACATACTGAGAATCCGTTGGATTTTGGTTTTGAAAATCGGCGGCGCGGATGAAGAGGAAACATAAAAAGAAAAGAAAAACACACATAGATATAAATAAATGCGAGAATATAAATTAATGTATTATAATAATATACAATTATATGGGGAATACGATTACAAATAAAGATAAAGTCGGTAGACGGGAAGTGAAACGCAACAAAGGAGGATAAAATATTTAATGGATTTCCAACGCAAAACTCTTATTATCCAAGAGTCGTAGATAATCTACGAAATCTGTCCATCATTTGCTCAGCTATCAAATCTGGATGATGGCAAACAATAGCGGCAAATCGCTCTATGCATATGCATATATGGCTCATTCATTCTTCCGTTCAACTTATTTTTTTTTCTTCTTCATTTTCTTAACACCGCCGCAATAACATTTACATAAGACGCATTTTTTTCGCACGCAGGTGCATATATTTCTATATGCACATACAAATATCTATATATATAGAAATGTATGCAAAAAAAAGCGGTTGTTTGGGGAAGGTGAGCGAGGGGAGCTCTAATTACTCTCTGAATGATTACTGCAATTTGTACTATTTTGTTAATACAAGACGTAATCTTTTCACATCGCAATCTCGTAAATTACAATGCGTATGGAGATTCTTACAACTTCATATGCCCATTATAACTTCATTTGTATTCCAATTACGCTCACAATACTTCTAATTTGTCTGCTCGTACTCCCCCTTTCGCCTGTTGTTTACGTGCCTTCGCAGCAACAACAACTTGCTTGCATTAAATGACTGGAAAACACACGCCTCCTACTTGTTTGATCGAATAATACTATTAATACATTTCTAGTGTACATTTGTAACAAATAGTAATAAAAATTATACATTACTAAAAAAAAGCTTATATTTTTCTTTAATTCATTGCGTATTAATATTTGCATTTCTGTCTTTATTTGTCCTTGAATTTATTCTAATTCCTTCTCTATATATTTGAATTAATAAGACTTTTGGTCAAAGTTATTTTTTAAGTAAATATTTGAACATTTAGTAAAAATTTCAAAAAAAAAGTACAAAAATGGCTGTAACAAAGAAAAACCAAACTTTAGACTCTAAATTTATACGATAATTTTAACAAATAGTTAAAAATGTATACATTTCTAATGAAGCTTATTTTTTTTTTATTTATATCTTTGCGTATTAATATTTGAATTTCCATCTTTATTTGTATCTGAATTAAGATGTTTTCAATTATGTAACGACAAATATTTTTATATATTTCTTTGTGAAATTATATTTCTAATTCCTTTTTTATTTCCATTCTAAATTAATAAGACTTTTAAGTCAACGTTCTTTTTTAAATAAAGACTTGTACATTTAGTAAAAAATACAAAAAAAAACCTGTAACAAAGAAAAACCAATTAAAAATTTAGTTTAGTCAACATTCTAAACTTTAGACTCTAATTTTATATGATAATTTTAACAAATAGTTAAAAAAGTATACATTTCTAAGAAAGCTTATATTTTTCTTTATTTCCTTGTGTATTTATACTTGCATTTCCGTCTTTATTTGTATCTGAATTAAGATGTTTTCAATTATGTAACGACAAATATTTTTATATATTTCTTTGTGCAATTATATTTCTAATTCCTTTTTTATTTCCATTCTAAATTAATAAGACTTTTAAGTCAATGTTCTTTTTTAAATAAAGACTTGTACATTTAGTAAAAATTACAAAAAATACCTGTAACAAAGAAAAACCAATTAAAAATTTAGTTTAGTCAACAGTCTAAACTTTAGACTCTAATTTTATATGATAATTTTAACAAATAGTTAAAAAAGTATACATTTCTAAAAACTTATATTTCTCTTCATTTCTTTGTGTATTAATATTTGCATTTCCGTCTTTATTTGTATCTGAATTAAGATGTTTTCAATTATATAACAATAAATATTTTTATATGTATCTTTGTGCATTTCAATTTCTAATTTCTTCTCTATATTTCTTTGAATTAATAAGACTTTTAGTCTATGTTCTTTTTTTAAATAAAGACTTGTACAGTTAGTAAAAATAACAAAAAATAATACAAAAATACTTGTATCAAAGAAAAACCAATTAAAAATTTAGTTTAATCAACAGTCTAAACTTTAGACTCTAAATTTATGTTATAATTTTAACAAATAGTTAAAAAAAGTATACATTTCTAAAAAAAGCTTATATTTTTCTTTCTTTCCTTGTGTATTTATACTTGCATTTCCGTTTTGATTTCTACATGAATTAAGATAAGTTTCAGTTAGAGTTTTCACTTATGTAACGACATATATTTTTATATATTTCTTTGCGCAGTTATATTTCTAATTTCTTCAATGTTTTTGTACACTTAGTAAATTTCAATATGAGAATTTTTAACTTCACTTTTAGAATTAGTTTTGCAAAAATTGGATTCGAAACTGAAGACAACAAAGAAAA